ACACACACACCGTCTCACCTGTGCGGCAATAATGTGTCCAAAAAAAAAAAAAAAAGAAAGGAAAAAAAATAAAAACAAGCGCCTTTTCAGCTCAGTCCATCACTGACCGAAGCTCTCCTCTCTTGCCTCTCCTCTTCCTCAGCTCTCTGCCCTCCAACTCTGTGGAAATCCTCGGTCCCAATGCAGCTGACTCGAAGAGACTCTCCTCCAGGAGCGGGTTTTGTCATCTTAATTGTTTGTTCCGGGCGCTGCGTTTGGTCACAGCTACAGCGGTTTAATCATGGTAAGAAAAAAAAAGATGGGGATTGCGGAGATATGCCAACTCCAACCTCCAATGCGCGCTCCCAAATCTCCACAAGCATCAAGCTCAAAATCCCTTTTTTTACGTGCAAAATCTAAAAAAAAAAATGTGCTGCAGCAGAAATAAATAAATGTATGCACATATAAATATTTCGTCCTTGATCGGGAGATTTAATCTCTTGGTGAGCGTCTGTGGTTCAATCTGGCGTGGCGCAACGACATCTCCATAATCCCAAAGAAAAAGAAAGAGAGGAATGGTAAATGAAGAGGTGGATGATGGGCCGGACCGACGCGATGCTGAGCTCCTGAAGTCTGTCTGTCACACCTCAAATCCTGGTTTAGATGGTGGATGGAGAAGGTGGCTCTGCCCGGAGGGGCGGAGATACTGGACGGATTCAGAAACCAACGCCTCCAAAAAGCGCCAGAATCCACCCAGCGCCGAACCATCTCTGGAGTTTTAGAACATTAAATAAACGACATGGTTGATGGACTTAGATAGATCATCTTGTCATTTATTCAAATTAGAAGATCTTGAGAATTAAAAAGGTGTTACAAAGGTTTTCTGTAGACTTTTCGTTCATTTTTAATCCAGATAATTGTTACTTGCTTATTAAGCCAGGCGTGCCACTAAGGGGACAGACAGGGTGGCAAAGCCCCTACTTTATATTAGTTCTGACCTCCCCCCCCCAGCTGCATCTCACAGTAGGGTTGTGCAAAATCATATTGTGTGCATTTCTTCATCAAAAAAAACTTCCCGTGATTATTTTTTGCCACTTGATGATTAATGCGATTAATGCCACCAGGTTAACTGGAGATTTCCCCCATTAGTCCACTCAATGCTCCTCTCTGCTTCAAATATAACAAACTTTTTTTAAAGTTCTGTAATTTATTTATCTTAACTCTGGTTAAAAATTTGATGAACAGTCTGAATTCTGTACTTAAATTGGTCATGTGACTAAGGCATGCAGGGGTCCAGACACTGCAGGGGATTCATTGTCATATGAATCGTCATCAGCTTAATACTACAATTATAACCGAGATTTTTTTTTTTTTGCCAATGTTGCCCAACCTTACCCCACAGACCAGACAGTCACATGGTGGAAACAGAGATGCCTTTTTTTTTTTTTTTCATTTTTACTGGTCAACTATGGCTGTGGTTCCCAACCTTTTTTAGACTTGTGTACCCCCTGAGTCATTTTGTTATACCACTAGTACCCCTTCAGTCAAAAGTAATGATGATACTCCAAAATTACAATGTACTACATCTGATTATTAAATGAAATTGATTTATTTTACCTCCTAGAACATTTAATTCTCAGGCATTTTATTGTTTTCAATTCAAATTAAACATAAAGATAAAAATGTTGCCTTGAAAGTGAATAAGTAATTAAATAAATAAACCAGATAATGGCAGGTGCAGAAAACAGCAGCATCCAAAATACACTGTATTGTCCAAAATACGTCAGAAACTCGCCCAAATGAGCAAATTCTGAGAGATTCTGCGTTTTATACTGTGTTGATCCTGAGATTCTGTCTGCAAATTCCACATTGAGGAAATCACAGGGACCAATCTCAGTCCTATTGTCATTTTTTATTTATTTATTTTACACATCTGGGAAATTTTCCCACATACTCCCTGTAAATTGCTCGCGTACTCCTGGTTGGGAATCATTGCTGTCAACAATGTCCAGGACTGAATGAACAGTCCGAAGTCCTGAAAGGGCTGGAATATTTAAGGACTTTAGACAGAGTGAAGGGCTGAAGGAACTGTCCAAGGTCCTGAAAGTGCTGGAATGTTTCAGGACTCTAGACAGAGTGAAGGGCTGAAGGAACTGCCCAAGGTCCTGAAAGTGCCGGAATGTTTCAGGACTTACAAAGGCGCTCTTTTTTAAATTAGGGGCTAACGACCCCTGGGGGTACAAGAGGGTGCTAATGGGGCCTCAGAAATCTGGAGAGAAGACAAGGAAAAAAATACAAAAAATAAAAAATAAATCTAGCTTTCAGTTCGGTTGAAGTAAACTCTGGTGTGTTTTGAATATGAATGCACTACAGTTCAAACCAAAACAAACATGCGTGTCTTGTGCTAGAGGGAGGGTCTTATGGTCATTTGCCAAAGACAAAAGAGAAGACCTACAACAGCTGAAATATGATGTCACTCCAAATTTGTTTACATTTTGTGAAAAGGGAAGTTGTGCTTAATGTCTTGGCCTGTGGTTTCCGTGTAATTTCTTTTAGTGGTTCTTGGTGCAGCACCCCCACAGGTAAGGAGGTGAAAGTGAACTGTCTGCACCAGTTGAAAATGTAACAAATGTTAGAATTTTGGAACCCAGTTAAACTGAATCCACCCTCGGAGAGGAGAGGACACATGTCAATGAGCTGAACTGTCGTTTCTCAGGCTTCTGTATCAAGTTCAACTGGATGTTTTCCCCTTAATACTGGACTTTAATAATTGACTTAAATATCATTTTAGGCCTGATGTATATTTTGTCCTTCACTTGTTCATTTTCTTGCATTTTTAAGCACTCTGTGCAACACACTGTCATAGTTTAATATGGGGACCAGAGTGAAGTTCTTTTAAAAAGGTAAAAAATAATTAATATCTTTGAAAAACCTTTGGAAAACTATCTATTGATCAGAACCACTATAAAAGACGATGAAAAAGTCTGGCTGCTTGGAAGCAACATGTAAGCTTTTGCACAGGATCTGATTTTTTCATAAACTTTGATTTAGCCATTTGAAAACTGATGCTCATTAGTTTGGGAGACTAAGCATTTTGTCTTTATATATATA